AAGAAAGGGATGAAACTCAGTCATATGATTCTTTACTACCATTGTAGTGAACTGTGAACACCTAGTTCCTGAGCTATAAGGGTGGTACCACCTCATGCTGATGGCAGTTTGCAGGCAGCCAATATGTAGGCTGAGTTCACACCAAATTCCATGAAAAATGTTACAGGAGAAGGGGGGATTTCGGCCAAAATCCCTTCTCTATGTCAAGAAATCGTATGTTCCCATTTTCTGACAATCTACGCTCCTAAGTACAGCACATTTGTCGGAACAGGACAGAAGAAGTCCAAATTAATCCTTTCAATCATCAAGGTAATAGGACTGGGAGTGATCGAGTCAGCTAAGTGACAAACCTCTGTCGCGTGCAACTTTCAGCCGTATGAGTGGCGGTGGAGCGATTTATTGTTATGCCACCCCTCCCAAAGTGGCTGTGCTTTATCGGTTCAAGCAAAACATGCAAAACCAAGGAATACCCCCTTGCAAGATTCCTCCTGCCACTACTTTGGAGAAGCGGCTTCACAGGCAGATGATCATGGCAATTCGTGCCTTTATGTTCACATGGATACTTCGGCGGCATTGCGTGATACAGCCGAAGGTTTAACCCAAATCTCGTCCAAGAGGAGCATTTAGAGGCACTAGTAAATGTCTTCCATCTTTCTTAACGGTACATGAGAAGAGAAATTTGGCTTCCATTCTCTTACAGCAGGTAAATGCTATGTGACTCTACTGGTGGAGAAAACTGCTATAAAGCAAATTGAATGACAAGTGATTCGTTCCACTTGGTTCAAATTGGCACATGGGTGGAGGCACCCATAGAAAGCATAATTCGATCAGTTCACACTTGGAAGGCTGTTTTGAGTCGTCATTTCGATTAGTGCGTCCGAGACACGGTTTCACCATCTCAGGCATACACTTGGAAGCACGTCCGTATACTACCTGTTGGAGTTATGAATTATTTGCGTCTGCAGATGCAGGATGTTTTCGCTCAGCAAGCAAGTAGTTGTGCCTAATATTTGTAGAATAAATGAGATGACGAAATCAGCAGACACAAACCTACAGCTAAATGCTACAGAAATGTCCACCATATTGTTCACTTGGAAATGTATGTTTCAGGTGGCAGGTTGCAGCAGCGTAATGACCGAATGGATCACAAAAGCAAGGTGGGGAGCAGTTGCATCAGCTTTTGCCATTTGCGTTCGATCGCAGCATTGGAACTGATACGAAGCACCATCAAATGTCTCAATTTACGTGAATGTTAATTTCTCAGAAATGTGGATATCCTTCAACAGTAATGAAGCAAGGAATCCTTAACCAACTCTACATGATTTACTTAAAGCTTAAAATTACTTAGGCCATGCAAATGGTCCGAAATTTTGTAAATCCGTCTCTTTGTGAGTGGCAAACTAAAATGTGCCCCAATTAGCCACCGAAATCTGACACCCTCGGCCTCGGGGTCAAGTGATGATTAGGTGAGACCTGTTCCTACTTCGTCGATTTATTATGGACATTGAACCATTTTATATGGTCAAGCCTCACGGAACCTGCCCCGGATAAACACATCATTGTGAACTGATTTCCTGCACGAACCATTCCTCCACCTAGGAAAGTACTTGCAAGCCATTACATGACTATGCATTTCAATGCAGTGATATTAAATTAAAGCACTTGTGATATCCGCCTCTGTTCATATGAACCTTTGTAAAGTGATGAATTTGTGAAAGCATTAGATTGGTACCCAGGTTTGCAGACTCTTTTGAGTCCGATGAGATGAGCTGATTAGAGAGCTCTCCTATAATGCACTATTTGATGAACAAATCCCTGCAGACCCCTCACTATGCAAATTGCTGTGCTGCGTGAATGCTTAGAAGGACACTTCCCAATGGCGATGCATCAGAGCCTTCACCAATCAGGTGTATCCAGGCCTGTTAGCCTTCCTACCGTGGCATATTAGCACTTAAATGAAGTGTACGCAGGGTGTTCTTTGCTCCGACTTCCTGTTTCGTGTTCTGCAGGGATGCCAATTGCTACTGAAACGACTTAACCTGTGAAGCATGTGGAAAAGTTCTTTACAGAGGTGTTCACGGTACCCCTATGAGGATGACAATTAATTGAGCACGTGATGTTTATTTTACCGCTCTACTAGCTGGATAGGACTTAGATTTATGACTGGACAAGATTGGGGAGAGGATAAAGTTGTAAGGAGGGACAGACACAAAGCAAAATCCCCACAAAACTATTTCAAACACCATCCATTATCAGTGGGCTCTAATGTAAACCAGTGTTCCTACGGCCAGCTCAAAACATCTGAGATGGTCCAAACATTCCCTCTCCCCCAATGCAGTTCTTAAACAGGAGGAAAGCCCAGATGCACGGCAATTGCCATGAGGGATTAGTGTCATAGCAGGTAGATACAGTTGCACACAAGTTCGATGACGGGTGCTCTGACTGGTGGATATTTGTTTATAGGCACCGACTACGTTGCAATGGTCGACGCGGGAAGTTGAGTAAGGGAAACGCCAGGCAATCCCTAATATCAACTCTTCTTTTCTAAGTGTCTGCTTTATTGTATTTTATTCTATTCTACCCTGTCATGTGCTGTCCTGTTCCCTTATTCTATGCTCCAATCCGTTTGGTATATAACCTTGTGATTATGCACTTCCACTGTCAAGTGTAGGGGTGTGTAGTAATTGCAGCTCAAAGAAGGAGCATCAGAGGGCTATAAAAGTGGACGGTCCCACCCATCTCATTCCAACCCACCCATACCTTGAGTGGAAGTCTTTTCAGAAATAGGTAATATTTGGCTGTGAGAAGAGGCCTGGGACCTTACCATTACTGGCAGATATGGGGATTCCTCGGACTGAGTGATCAGTCCTGTGTTTCGACAAACCTTTTCTTTAAGAAAATTCGTGTCAATCGTGAATGCCAGGCCTTCACGGAAATAAGCCATGGCAGTTTGGTGGGAGTGTAGTGTGCATCTTGGAAGAATGGAGTGGGTAGCGATTAGATAGTCTGGAGTAACCATTTAATCAGTAGGACATTGCCTTCTGGATTCCACGGTTATATGACACTTGTGGAAGTAGTGAAGAACACACTGAGAATGTTTCAGGCTTCCTGTCACCCACCAATGCTTGCGGGTAGAACCTGTCCACTGACCTTTCACTACCTCTTTCCTAGTCGATTTTGGAGGCAACAATTTTCTCATGTTCACTGCAATTTATCTAATTTGCCTAATTTGTCCATAGTAGCTCATGATCAAGACTAGACCATCATTCCTTCCCGTTGCTGTCTGTCTTTCGTTTGGTATTTCATCACCGAAATCCTTTTCGCAACCATAAACCACATCTGGTCGGTAAGCGCCAGCATCCCTTAATGTATCCAACGGCATCGACTAGAAGCCAACTTTTGCAGCTTTACGTTTGAGTTCACTTCATCACGTAGGTGAGATAAGCTCGAGTGCCGTCATTCAGCTTGGAAGGTCCTCTACAACATTTCAGGCTTAAAGGACCACGAGACCGGTTCACCCTGTGAGGAGAATGCGAGAGGTAGTACCGACGGACTGAAGCTTGCGTCTAGGGGAATGTATGCATTCTACAAGCTCTTGCAGGTCACAACAATCCAATCCGATGAGTTGTATCAAAACTGGCGTGGACTTTTTGATTCTCAAATTGCTCAAGTTATGCATTTATCCCTCCTCTTAAGTCCCCTAGACTCGATCACCTTACAGTCATGGCGTGTCATCTATACTTGAGGCCTCTCGGTCCGTTCGCAGGCTGATCCTACTTCTTCCCTCACTCCTCATTGGGTGTGTGAGGAGAACTCGCGAACTGCTGGCGTGGATACTTGATGTTTTATTACAGTTAGGCGACTGAGAAGGTATTGCAGATGACAAGGCAACCATTATATCAAGTGGAATAAAATGAAGAGTCAGAGCGAATCGCAAGTCAGTATATTTATCGAATCATATTTGATCAAGGAAATGGCGCAAGTGACTCATTATTCACTCTTCAACTGCTTGACATACTTCGCCAGTTGCTTACGAATACGCTGTCTGACTAAAATGGAAAGAAAAGGGCGGATCGTGGCGGCCTGAGAGGAATGCAAACCTACCTTCCTTAATCAGTTCCTTCAACTCGGCATAGTGATCAGAGATTTTTTGGCCTAGAGGGTCCTCCTCGAAGAACTTTTCCCACTTCTCAAGCTTCGTCTTGTATCTGGCTCTAATATCACGAATTGGGTTTTTCTACCAAGGACGAGGTTTAGATTTGCGTATTGGAAGGTAGAGGGTAGAACTTGGTGTTGTGGGACTTACCTCTCTAGGGAAGAGGCGAGAAGTAATACCAACCAGTATCACACTTACTCTGCGGAAACAGCAACGACAGCCAAAATGGTGAGGAGAGCAACAATGCCAGCCCGCATTCTGATGACCTGAAGGTGGAAGGAATCCGGTTGCTGTGATAAATGGTGCGGTATTTATACTGTCAATTCGGGTTCATTGTTTACATACGCCAAAATTACTTCCGGTACCTTAGACATAAGTCACTTCTGAAATTGTCATTGTGATCGGACGCAATGCCTGAGAGGCAAGTCTAATAGATGCAAAGACTGTCAAAGCAAGATTTGACTTCAAGCTGTGATCAAGATGCATCTGTACCCTGATGAGGCTGAGGAGCGTGGTGGATGGATAAAAGTCCATTGTTGATTATATTAAGTCACGTGGCAAAATGCGTGTGCCATCGAGGAGATTTTAGGACTGATGAATTTGAAAGGGGCTTGGGTATAAACATGAGGGAGAGTTGAATGTCTAGCAACGTCGACTGTGCAAGCAAATTTTCATGCCGTCGCTGCCAAGTCCAATTCGCAGTAGACGGAAAGGGTTTATGCGATCCTTTCATGTAGCCATACCATGGTGCTCGAATTCCTTCCCAACTCCAGAAGCAACGATTTTCCTGCGTTGAATATTCCCAGATAATTCCTCTCTGCCACTAGATAATCTTAAAGATCAACAATAACCGTCCGCCTCCTAGGTTTTAATCGCATTGAACACCAACAGTGGACCACCTTTTCTGAACAGAACGACACCTTGCTCTGAGTTGAGTCCTAACCAAGGGCATTGTCTTCATGTGTAAACTACCTACGTCTGGGTACCACCGCATCTATCAGGTCATGTCAATTCAAGGACACATGGAAGATGAGGTGGGGTAGTAGCTTTCTACCTCTCGTTTTGAGGTAGGACACGAGATTTTGCTAGAGTTATTTTTTACTGTGGCGTGAGGTATTGCGCTGTAAGACTAGGATGAAGTGGAGTGTACTCCGGACAAGTGGGCTAAGTAGTGAGTGGGCCGTGTGGGGATAGTAAATGATAAGTCTCTTTGCTTACGGAATGTTAGTTCTCATTCTCAGGCAAGTCAGTCAGTCAGTCAAATGGCAAACATTCCATCACGGATTGCATGGTTCTTCAATGTATGCGAAAGTAGGGACGAAAAAACTGAGAGTGTTCTAGACCTACCCTCCTTCCTCAACACGTGTGGGCGGAGCCTATCCACTCATCTTCTGCCGTCATTTTAGCACTCACTGTGGTCACTAACGATTTGTCGCGTAACCTGCCCTTGGTGAAACAGGATTCCCCATGGCAGAGACTCGACTGTCCTTCCTTCCTGATGTTCTGCATCAGTCATTAAGCTATTTATCACAGAATTCACGTTTATGC